ATACACACAATTATTCTCAGATTTGAAGCCGAAATCTATGAAAAAAGGCACTCAGAAAAATTGAAAAATTGATAAATCACCCCAAATTGCTTAACACGATTTTATCTCAAGAACTATAAGTGCAAATGAGCTGAAATTTTCAGGGATTGTAGTCCTTTGGAAGGGATAAAATTCAATGAAAGTTCCAGCTTTCTATCTATAATAGAAAAAAAGTTACGACTTCTCAAAGTTTTCCAAAATCTAAATTATAAGGTAGGTACCTTCTTACTAAAACGATGAAATTTCAATTTTTTTTTTTTCTAGATTTTGTGTCCTAATAGTCAATCAAGATACCCCAAACTCCATACACACAATTATTCTCAGATTTGAAGCCGAAATCTAAAAAAAAGTTACGACTTCTCAAAGTTTTCCAAAATCTAAATTATAAGGTAGGTACCTTCTTACTAAAACGATGAAATTTCAATTTTTTTTTTGTCTAGATTTTGTGTCCTAATAGTCAATCAAGATACCCCAAACTCCATACACACAATTATTCTCAGATTTGAAGCCGAAATCTATGAAAAAAGGCACTCAGAAAAATTGAAAAATTGATAAATCACCCCAAATTGCTTAACACGATTTTATCTCAAGAACTATAAGTGCAAATGAGCTGAAATTTTCAGGGATTGTAGTCCTTTGGAAGGGATAAAATTCAATGAAAGTTCCAGCTTTCTATCTATAATAGAAAAAAAGTTACGACTTCTCAAAGTTTTCCAAAATCTAAATTATAAGGTAGGTACCTTCTTACTAAAACGATGAAATTTCAATTTTTTTTTTTGTCGAGATTTTGTGTCCTAATGGTCAATCAACATACCCCAAACTCCATACACACAATTATTCTCAAATTTGAAGCCGAAATCTATGAAAAAAGGCACTCAGAAAAATTGAAAAATTGATAAATCACCCCAAATTGCTTAACACGATTTTATCTCAAGAACTATAAGTGCAAATGAGCTGAAATTTTCAGGGATTGTAGTCCTTTGGAAGGGATAAAATTCAATGAAAGTTCCAGCTTTCTATCTATAATAGAAAAAAAGTTACGACTTCTCAAAGTTTTCCAAAATCTAAATTATAAGGTAGGTACCTTCTTACTAAAACGATGAAATTTCAATTTTTTTTTTGTCTAGATTTTGTGTCCTAATAGTCAATCAAGATACCCCAAACTCCATACACACAATTATTCTCAGATTTGAAGCCGAAATCTATGAAAAAAGGCACTCAGAAAAATTGAAAAATTGATAAATCACCCCAAATTGCTTAACACGATTTTATCTCAAGAAATATAAGTGCAAATGAGCTGAAATTTTCAGGGATTGTAGTCCTTTGGAAGGGATAAAATTCAATGAAAGTTCCAGCTTTCTATCTATAATAGAAAAAAAGTTACGACTTCTCAAAGTTTTCCAAAATCTAAATTATAAGGTAGGTACCTTCTTACTAAAACGATGAAATTTCAATTTTTTTTTTGTCTAGATTTTGTGTCCTAATAGTCAATCAAGATACCCCAAACTCCATACACACAATTATTCTCAGATTTGAAGCCGAAATCTATGAAAAAAGGCACTCAGAAAAATTGAAAAATTGATAAATCACCCCAAATTGCTTAACACGATTTTATCTCAAGAAATATAAGTGCAAATGAGCTGAAATTTTCAGGGATTGTAGTCCTTTGGAAGGGATAAAATTCAATGAAAGTTCCAGCTTTCTATCTATAATAGAAAAAAAGTTACGACTTCTCAAAGTTTTCCAAAATCTAAATTATAAGGTAGGTACCTTCTTACTAAAACGATGAAATTTCAATTTTTTTTTTGTCTAGATTTTGTGTCCTAATAGTCAATCAAGATACCCCAAACTCCATACACACAATTATTCTCAGATTTGAAGCCGAAATCTATGAAAAAAGGCACTCAGAAAAATTGAAAAATTGATAAATCACCCCAAATTGCTTAACACGATTTTATCTCAGGAACTATAAGTGCAAATGAGCTGAAATTTCCAGGGATTGTAGTCCTTTGGAAGGGATAAAATTCAGTGAAAGTTCCAGCTTTCTATCTATAATAGAAAAAAATTTATGACTTCTCAAAGTTTTCCAAAATCTAAATGATAAGGTAGGTACCTTCTTACTAAAACGATGAAATTTCAATTTTTTTTTTTGTCGAGATTTTGTGTCCTAATGGTCAATCAACATACCCCAAACTCCATACACACAATTATTCTCAAATTTGAAGCCGAAATCTATGAAAAAAGGCACTCAGAAAAATTGAAAAATTGATAAATCACCCCAAATTGCTTAACACGATTTTATCTCAAGAACTATAAGTGCAAATGAGCTGAAATTTTCAGGGATTGTAGTCCTTTGGAAGGGATAAAATTCAATGAAAGTTCCAGCTTTCTATCTATAATAGAAAAAAAGTTATGACTTCTCAAAGTTTTCCAAAATCTAAATTATAAGGTAGGTACCTTCTTACTAAAATGATGAAATTTGATTTTTTTTTTGTCAAGTCATTGACAAAACAGGTTAGTTTATGATAACATACAGTGTGTCTCGCTTAAGGATTGACCACCCTTCTACAATTATTTCCTAGCCCTTTCATTTTTTTTTTTTTTTTTTTCATATCTACTCCTATTTGGCTCATAACTTTATTTCTGCGGCTTTACTGGTGTACAGGGTGTCCACACAGGCTCAAAAATCATCAAGTATTTACTATTAAGGGGGTTTTACATGCTGCAATAAATCTTGCAGTTAGACGGTGCAAGTGCAAGTACCTGCAAGACTCTTCCTGTAAGATTTCTTGCGCCGTCTTGCGGTTTGGTTTTACATGTGCTTTGAAATCTTTCAATTGCTTTCTTCTGCCAACATAATGAAAAAAAAAATATAGGAAAACTTAACCTTACTTTTCAATACCTATTCTTCTTGGTGTTGGTACTTGTTTTCTATTACTTTTGTTGTATGTAAAAAATGAATCTTTGCATCATTATTGGTGCCGCCACTATGTTACAAGAAACCATTGTATTTGCCTATGATACGTCGATACCTACGTGTTGATGATTCTCAGTATAATAAAATATAATATCGCTACCTGCATATTGAAAATTAAAATTGATTCAAACGGAATGTCATAGGTGCCTACCTAATATCATTATTGTTTCCTATGAAACGTAGGTACCTACCGAGGTATCTATGTACCTAAAAGTAGATTATTTTCAGTGTATCTAATATATAAAATTCTTATGTCACAGTTTTAGTTACCTTCGTCCTCCGAAACGGCTTTGCCGATTTTTATGAAATTTTATATGTATATTCGGTAGGTCTGAGAATAGGTTTTAAGCTATTTTTTATACCCCTGATAAGTGTGGTCCACTCCAAAATTTTTTCTTGCTTCTCACCACTACATAACTCAACTTATTTTTGTTTATTCCATTCAACCGATGTAACAGTATTATCTTATAGCATTTTCGGCTTTACTGCTCCCGGAGCGCTCTCTACTTGGGCGGTGGCATCATAGGTCTCTGCGAAAGTGCTCCGAGAGCGATTATGATTCAAGCGAAGCACCCTATTTGAAATCAATAGCCAAATGATGTAAAATTTTAATTTTAGGTGATTTCTGATCCAGAGAGTAAACATTAGTTTTCTTCAACCAAGGCCAAATTCACCATTGAAAAAAACTGAATTTAATTCATCTACTAGATACGTTAACACAACATTTAATAGGTATTTAATAATTCATAGGCAGTACGAAGTTCGCCGGTTCAGCTAGTAATTAAATAAATAAATGATCTCTACTTGGATTTATCTGTATTTTAAGTTGATTCAATTACGGCTCTGACATAGGTATACCTAATCTATTCTCATTAATCTATAAAATATAAACATAATTTCAAAAGTAGTAACTTTTATTGAAAGTTGGCATGCCAAAAATTACCAAATTTTCCCCCAAAAATAATCTTGCAGAGTCTTGCACTTGCAGAAATATCGAAAAAGAGCTTGCAAGAAAAATTGAATGAAATTATTTGCATGCAAAAAAATTGCATTCAAGATTTCTTGCTTGTCGTTTTACACCTTGCAATTTGACTTTTTCCTTCTCTAACCTTGACCAAACTTTTTTTTTTTAATTTTGTGTGGTTGATGTTTGCATTTTCCAAAAATGGAAAAAAGTGATTATAAGTCCATTGCCCGAAAACCTTCAAGAAAAATGGCACCAAACCGATTGCATGCAACGCCAATCAAGTTTCAAGAATGTTGCAGAAAACAATCAGCTGATTCACTTCTGCGCATGCCTTCGTTCAAGTTTCTTGCATATTGCAGATAGAATTGCAAGCTGTAAAACGGCCAACACAGAACCGATAAGTTGCAATTGCAAGAAGTCTTGCAACTTGTAATCAGCTGGGTTGCCACTGTGCATGCCTTTTGCAAGAGTTCTTGCAGCATGTAAAACCCCCTTCAGGGATTTTTTTTCAGAAAAAAATCTGATTGGTCTTAAACCCAATTGTACTAATTTTTGTTTCAATACAATAGAGGGTGATGACAACAAATTTTCACAATTTAGTGAATCGAACTGCAAAAATGTTATATTTTGAGACAATCTTACAAGTTTTGGTTGAATCGGTTCTACAATTAAGCTGGATTTATAGTGTCAGTATCAGTAACAGTAAGATATTAAAACACGGCCGACCGTAAAGCTATTTATAATTCACTTAACAAACTTAACAGTAAAACTTAAGAAATGGTTATTTCCATATCTGATCTTAAGTTTTAAGTTACTGTTACTGATATTGACACTATAAATCCAGCTTTACTGTTCTACAGAACAGTAATTTTCCCATTCAAGTCAATCAAATCATTTGCCAAGTAGGATAAACATACAACTTATTGAAAAATGTGGGCAACTTGAAATTATATTAGTTTTGGAATAGTTCTTATATCGCTTGGAACAGAGCTTTTGTTTTAATGGATAAGTTCTTACTGTAAATAAGTTGCACTGGGTAACATTGAAGACTCCTTCAGCTCTGTAAAGCACTGCAACAGTTCCACAGAAGGATTCCAGCCTTTGTTCTGTAGATAGAGCTGCAGTAGCATATAGAGTTTCTCTGTAACGTAACCTGCTCCAGGAAATCCCATTCCGGGGCCTGGAAGATCAGCTTGCTGTAGTCCTTTGGCCAGGACGTTTTTCATTGTTTCTGCTAGATCCATTTTGAGACTGTGAATAGATTGTAATTATTTGAAATGTAAATTAGGAAATTGCTTACCGTGTTTCCTGTTAATTATTTTAATTACATCCGGCAAGAAATGCTACAGAGAAGCTGTAGCCAGGAAACTTATAATAATCATCATATTATTACTGAGATTGGTAGGGGTTTGCACTAAATACTTTGTAGTTTAAGTAAATTCATACTAACTAAATTTGATTTGATTGGGATAATTGCAATTTTGCAAAAAAGTAATTTGCAACTTGCAAATCCACCCTAGATAAAATTGAATGCGGAACAAAATGGAGGATCAAAAAGATAACTGAGCGTGCGCAATTATTAATCGAAAAATATTTTCTTCTCGCTCTTTTATACTAGTTAAAAAGGGATGCAGCTACAAATTTTTGGATTCAAATCAGGTGGCGCCATCTCTTAAAGAGTAGTCAAATCTTTGTCACATGAGATTTAAATGTCACCTGCCCATCTTTAAGATCATATGATCAAAATTTCAATTATCCATAAAATTTTACTCAAATTTTCTAGTCTTGAGTTCAGCAAGGCGTAGTCGTTCAACTTCCTTCTAAAAAACTTAAAATCTTTGAAGTTTTTCTCAACAAAGTAAAGAAAATCATCAACCATGGCCCTCAGCGACGCCGACGTCCAAAAACAGGTAAAAAAATCCACCCAAAATATGATTTTTTTCAAATTTATTGGCCCCAAATTACTCCATAATACAAACGTTTCAATTTCTATTAGATCAAGCATATGATGGCTTTCATCGAACAAGAGGCCAACGAAAAAGCTGAAGAAATTGATGCCAAGGCCGAGGAGGAATTCAACATCGAAAAGGGGCGCTTGGTACAACAGCAAAGGCTCAAAATCATGGAGTATTACGAGAAGAAAGAGAAACAAGTCGAACTACAAAAGAAGATGTAAGAATTCTTTTTGATTTGAGGCGTTTTACATTACTAGGTCATGTGACAAAAAATTTCATTTGTATCTGCTCTAAGCTTTAAAAGAGAATTTTGCTCCCTTTTTCTATAGGAGCTACAATTGAAAAACCTCAATTTCTCAAACTCAATTTACAAAAACCTTCTAATAACTAACTTATTATTTCTTCCAATAGTCAATCTTCAAACATGTTGAACCAAGCTCGTCTCAAAGTCCTAAAAGTAAGAGAAGACCACGTAAGAGCTGTTCTGGAAGACGCCCGCAAAAGATTAGGTGAAGTAACTGGTGACCAAGGCCGTTACGCTGTCATCAGTGAGTCCCTCATTCTACAAGCAATGTACCAAGTAAGTAGCACCAAAATAATGCATCAACAATTTCAATTACAAAAAAAAATTTACAGCTTTTTGAAACCAACGTCTTGGTCAGAGTCAGACCCCAAGATAGAGACTTGGTCAAATCTGTGCTGCCTACTGTTGCCACCAAGTACCGTGATGTGACTGGCAGAGAAGTGAATTTGCAAATTGATGATCAACTTCAACTGTCCCAAGACACTACTGGAGGCATTGAGCTGTACACTCGTCAAAACAAAATTAAAATTTGCAACACTCTTGAGGCTCGCTTGGAATTGATTTCTCAGCAGTTGGTGCCTCAGATTCGTACTGCCTTGTTTGGACGCAACGTCAACCGCAGATTTACTGATTAGGTACATTGTTTTTGAAGCAATAAATGTATCATAAATTTGAATTCCACTTTATTTCCAAGTAGAAGTATTATTGTATGTTTAAAAGTTATTTTTTTTCTTTTTTTTAGATGTTGGTGTTTTGTGACACAAAATGTTCATTATAATGTATGTTACCAATAAAAACGTAATAATAATTGTATCCATAAAGATGTTTTGAGCTTATTTATCCTGCTTCTGTATTAAGTCCAAAATTTACTGTTTTCTTAGGTTGAGAATTATTTGTTCCAGGTTTTCTGGTGCTCGAAGTTGGTTGACAAATTTGGGTATCAATAATCTAAAAGAAAAAACTAGCTTTAATTACTTAATAGCTATTTATGCGTAGGGTGTAAAGTGAACCTTTTTTTCACAAATTAGTGATAAAAGTGGCTTTACAGTACACAATTTACAATTTTTTTTTATTACTTTATGCATTAGTATTTAAAGTAATTTATTTCTCAACCTAGGGTGTAAAGTGAATATCACATTTTTAATACAGAAAAGGGCAGTGAAGGCTTTTATAATAGGTGGGTACCTATCAAATTTTGGAAAGAATATACAGATTTCTTGTTGTCTTTGTGCAAAAACTCCTAAAATCTTTAGAATTCCAGGTCATTTTGCAAATTTTCTGTTTCCTTTTTGTTTTGGCAAGAATCTACAGTTTTCAAATCTTGAATTTTGCAAATTTTCTAGATTTCTTGTTCAATTTGTTCAAATACTTGGGTATCTTTAAGATTCCGAGTTCGCTTTTGAGAAGAGTCTACAGTTCTGAAAATTTTGAACTCTCCAGTTTTTTCAGATTTCTTGTTGTCTTTATTCAAAAACTCTAAAATGTTTTTATCAATGAATGAATTATTAACGAATTTATTAATTTTTATATACTTTAACATAAAACAAATTTGAATAATTTATCTCAAAAAGTTTCCGAGATATTGAACCTCAAAGTTGAAACCTTGTCTCAAACTTTGGAAAACCTTCAAAGCCGATTATCTCGAAAACGAAGCCCTTGGGCTCAGTGTCCCAGTGAAGCTTTTTTGAAGCCCCAATCAAGATCTACAATTGGACGAAATTTTGTTTCGATAGATTTTCTGGTTTCCAAAATACGGCCCTTATAAATATTTGAAAATTAAATTTTCTTGCATAGTACTACCCCTTTAAAAAATATCAATTTTGATTTTCCTTAATTTTCCAATTTTTGACTTTACCAATCGAAAGAGGGGATCAAAAATAGTGGAAAAGCAAATTTGTAATTTTCTTTTTTAAGTTCTTAGGGCCTGTAAAAATTTAAAAATGATTTGATTATCTGACATTGCCACACAAAATGGCTCATTATGCAATTAATATTTCAAAAATTCTGCTGAATTAAATACTCTTTAAGACAAAACAAATTTGAATCATTTATCTCAAAAATTTTCCGAGATATTGAGCCTCAAAGTTGAAACTTTGTCTCAAATTATGGAAAACCTTCAAAGCCGATTATCTCGAAAATGAGCCCTTGGGCTTGGTGTCCCAGTGGACCTCTTTTGAAGTCTCAATCAAGATCTACAATTGGACGGAATTTCGTAGGTAACCGATAGCTGTTCTGGTTTCCAAAGGGAATTACTTGACGCATTACTTCTTGAAATCTAACTTTACATCTTTTGCTTTTGGTGCTTTACCCACAGTAGTAGAAAACATAAATTATTACCCTTGAATGTTGAGTGTTGTCTTTTCCTCTAGCAGAATTGTATTTTTGGTACTGGGATGTCACACAAAGTACTGCATAGAGCTAAAAAAGAAGGCTTTGTTTTATGTACTAAATTTGATTGTCTCCTACTTACATTTAAAATGTTGAGGAAAAAATCTACAACTATTACCATTCCAACTGATGGACTCCATTGCAACTGAAAACCAAATAAAATATTATAGTTCCATTATTTGCTAAGCTAATATACCTACTTACTGCATGGATAATTAGTGCATGAACTATGTAAATAACATCCAGGATAGTGAAGAGGACCATATTGAATATCCATGGGATCAAGAAATTTTTTTTGTTCTAATACAAAAGTTAATGAAGAACCTATAATGGAAAAAATTGCTTACCATGTATAAACCGTAGAAAAGTAAAATTATGCTGATTAGGCCGCAGCTTGAAAATGCAAATATGAGATAGGAAAAGAGATGATTAGCTAAAAAATATCATTATTAAAGTGGAAATTTGTATAATGTACCAAAGCAGAAAATGATTTACTAACTTTCTTCATTATTGAAATCAATTAATGGAATACTAGAGCAACAAATCTTTTGATGCAAAGCATAGAAAGAATGGACTGCATTCACTGTGTAGTAAATCTACAAAAAAAAAACCCTTTTTTTATTTGAATGAAAAAATCCTGAAATAAAATTACCAATGAATAAACACCACAGGCAATGCTACCTTGTCGCACCGAACTCCGGCAACAGCAAGAATGTAAAATTGGCATTTAAAAAAAATCCTACAACAGAAAAATATACAAAATGCACTTACCTTTTAGCAAACTTACCGTTTAAGGGAAAACTTTTTGCTTGTATCCTGGATCAGCTCGAGTCGCACACTGCAAAATCCACGTTGCGGAAACTCATTCTCAAGCAGAAATAAATTGTATAGGAGGAGGAGTGGAAAATACAGCAACAGGTTGGGGAAGAAAAATCATACTCCAAATTGTATTATCATAATTAAGATTTTTTTTTATTCATTATGAACATAAATACAAGCTCCACTTTTAGGTGTGGTAGTAAAAACTATAAATTCAAACCCTTCAGTGACTCCTAAAGGTTTAAAAAAATTCTCTTTGATAGAGTCAATGAATTTTTGGACATTTTCTGGAGCAACAAGGGAAACGGTACAACCACCCCAACCAGCTCCTGTCAAGCGAGTACCTAGAGTAAAAGATTTGGATATTTCCACAAGCCTATAAGAAAAATGTTTAATTATATGTTGTTGAAGCTCAATTATACATTTTACTTGTCTAGTTGAGGATGACTGCACTCGTACAAGTCTCTTAAACTTTCGTGACTTTGGCTCATAAGGGTGCCTAAAGTAAGTAATGTGTCTTCGCCTCCGGCAGCGTTTTTGCAAGTTTCGTAAAATTGTTTTACACGTTTAGCTTCTGAAAAAAATGATTAGAGTACATATAACATTTTTAATACAGAAAAATCGTGCTGATAAAATTGAAATCTGGTAGTTTGTATTCTTGCCGAGAAATATCTTTGTTACACATTTTGTTCTAGTTCCACTAAGTTTATTAGCACTTCGCGTTTACCTAGAAAATAAGTGCGATGTTACGATAAGACTGCACTTTCATAAAGATTCGTTGCTTCCGGTACAAATTTGTCCTAAATATTTCTAACTATAACTTTACTTCTAGGGCATAATATCTTGATCAAATTTGACTTATAATTTTCATAGATATTTTCTCCTTGTATTATTTTAATCTTGCAAACAGTTTTCCTTGCAAAGATTGTAAAAAAAGGAAAATGTTGAACACATACAGGGTGAATGCATTCACCTAAACTCTAACGAGGTTATTGCATTTTATAAAAATCGCCATAAATTGCACTCACAAACAAAATACATACCATTAAACACATGCAAAGCCCTCTGATACAACTTAAATTTCTCTATATCACGAGTGTTGGGAGTCAGCGACACCGTGTCCACCAGACTGGAAGTGGTATTTAATTCCTGGATAATATCCTGTTTGGTGTACGGTGTCGTTTTTAGGCATTCGCCAGTCAACGCTAGCATTTCGTCCAAATTGAGGCCGAGCAATTTTTGTAGGTCACCCAAACGTTTGATTTTCGTCCAGTCCAGAGAATTTTTATGAGCGATAATCTGGAACGTAATAACACTGAAGATTAGCTATAAAGACTAATGAAAAAACTTATTATATTATATATTTAAGTACCAGATTTTGTATAGAATGAGTAGAAATATTGTAAAAGTCTTAAAGTATATACTTTTTCCCACTGGCGCACCCGCAGGGGGGGGCCCTACATAGATTGTGGCTTGTGATTATAAATCTAAAAAAAAAGTTGAAGTGTCAGGGTGCCACGCCCTGAATTTATTACAATTTTTCATACAGAAAAATACAGTTTTGGGACAGGTCGCTACGCCGCCTGGGGGGAAGAGGACTCTAGCCTGATGGCTCCCTCCTGGATGCGTCACTGTAAGATTTTTTTTTATATATCCAGAAGCCTTTTAGCTTTAAGATACCAAAATTTAATTCGAAAAAAAAAACAAAGATAGAGTTATGATTTTTCAATCCCAGAGAGACACTTATGGCCGTTTGCACCGACCATTTTAAGGGAGGTTTAACGATAATCAACGTTTAAAGTGACATTATTACATGTAATAAAGTCACTTTAAACGTTGATTATCGTTAAACCTACCTTAAAATGTTCGGTGCAAACGGCTATAAGTGATATAAACTGCAGGACAAATGAAACGGAACAAGCGAATGTTTAGGTTAGCTTTAAATTCCAATATTACGCGATTTTAGGAAGATATCAATGAGCGGGGAAATTATCTTTTAAATTACGCAAACCGCTCATTGATTTCTTCTTTGGTTCGCGTAATATTGGAACCCAAAGTTGAACTAAAAATTCCCTTGTTCCGTTTCATTTGTCCAGCAGTTTATTTACAATACCAGACTATGGCCTGATTTTTAAAAAAAATTCCTGGAAATTTGTGATATTTTAAAGAATGAAGAATTTTTTTCATATACCAGACGCTTTTTAGCTTCAACATACCAAAATTTGATTGGGAAAAAAACAAAAAAAAAGCGGAGTTACGATTTTTTTTAATCCCAGAGAGACACTAGTGATATTTTTACAATACAGACTATATGACCTGATTTTTGATTTTTTTCCTAGAGATCTGGGAAACTTTGGAAAATGGAGAATTTTTTCAAATATCTAGAAGCTTTTTAGCTTTAACATACCAAAATTTGATTAGAAAAAAACCAAAGATAGCGGAGTTCGATTTTTTAATCCCAGAGACAGTGAGTGATATTTTTACACTACAGATTATGGCTTGATATTTTGATTTTTTTCCAGGAAATTCGGGAAACTTTGGAGAATGAAGAATTTTTTTATATATCCAGAAGCCTTCTAGCTTTAACATACTAAAATTTGATTCGAAAAAAATCAAAGATAGCGGAGTTACAATTTTTCAATCTCAAACAGACACTAGTGATGTTTTTACAATACAGACTATGGCCTGATTTTTGATTCTTTCCCTAGAAATCGGGAAAATTTTGGGAAATGAAGATTTTTTTTTTATATATCCATAAGCCTTTTAGCTTTACATCAAAAGTTGATTGGAAAAAAACCAAAGATAGCGGAGTTACGATTTTTCTATACCAGAGTGTCACTAAGTGATATTTTTACAATACAGATTATGATCTGATTATTGATTTTTTTTCCAGTTACCACATTTTTTATAGGTAAAAATACAGTTTTGGAGAGACGGCCTAGGGGGGGGGAGGGCGCCACTGCTTTTTCCCTATCCATATTATCAAAAGTTGCAACATAAATCAAATTAATTATATATTTTGCTGGTGAAACCTGAACAATAAATTTATATTAATTTTTTTTTTCCCCAAGTTATAAGGGTAATTTATTATTATCTTAACAAAACCGGCTGCCCCATTCTTACCTGTGCAGCTAATCTACACTCGACAACTCTACAATTGAAATCTCCAGTTGCGGCTTTATTTAAGTTGGTCAGACTGTGAGCTATCACGAATACAGCTCCTGTTGGTAATATCACTTCAGTGGATCGCAGTGGTTCGAATTCAATGTATTTGGCACACCCTTGTGAAAAATTAATTTAACATTAGTGGTAAAAGGGAGAATTTAGCTTAAAATATCAAGGGGTTGTAAAATTAACTAAGCGGTTGTAGGCAGTGGAAATTAATTTTCCAGTTGTCTATTCTTGAAGCGGGTTTTGGGAGTAATTAATTTAATGCCGCAAATTTTACTTGAGGTGTTACAGTTACATAAAGGAAAAACAATTTAATGTGTTAAAATGCTTGGAAATTTTCAAATTAAATGTGCGGGTACTGAAATACTACATTTTCAGGTAAAAATTACCTTCTTTAGCTAAAAAAGCAATCGCTTGATCCATACCGCCTCCCTGAGTACCAATATACCTTTCGCATCTGGCACACAAATTGGCCAATTCTTCTTTGGGCAACTGCAGCTGCAAAAAAACATTTACAAAAGAAAAAATGCTGCGCAGATATTTACCTTTAAACTGTGCGCAGCTGCCAAAGCAGCTGCGCTAACCAAAGCACTGCTGCTCGACAATCCAGCGCTTTGTGGCACTGTGCCACTCACCACCACACAAATACTGGGCAGGTTTTGAAGTTGATCCTTAGGGAGGGTTTCTAAGATGCCTTTGATGCCGCACAAGAAGTATTGGTACCATTTTGGAGGACCATTTTCTAAAGAGATCCTAAAAAATCTCTAGTTATATTATATGATTTCAAACTAAACCAAAAACAATTTCTTACTCTATATTATCATCAAGTTCGCACTCAAAATCCTCAAATTTCCTATCGACATTGTGCAGTCTCAATTTTTTCCCTTCTCCTGCTGTGCCTACTGCCAGAAAAATGTCCTGATCTAAGGCCATCGGACAAACTCCATAGCCGCAATAGTCTATGTGTTCTCCAATCAAATTCACCCTATATGTAAAAAGTTTTAATGAAACAAAAATAAACTGTGTAAATTCTTACCTTCCTGGCACCCTCACAAAAAAATCTGGCTTCTTTTTGTATATTGATTGAAATACATTAGTGATTTTTTCACTCCTCTCATTTTTGATTAATTTTTCAATTTGTACAGGCATTTTGTCGTCCTGCAAAATTGTTACTAAAGCTTTTATACTTTTTCTTGTTTGCCAACAACAATAAAACAATATAATTCTGATTGATAAGAGAATATTTATTGTTTTTTAAAAATTAATATTTATTTACAAAGTCCTATCTATCTAATCGAATGCTTTTTCTGATGCATTTTGATTGCAGGTTAAATAGACATAGAAAAGGTATTTTCCTGCTGCTTTTGTGCCACGTACCAGGAATATTTACAGCAATAATCCGAGTATTTAAAGTATTTTTTATTGATTTACTGTCTGATTTATTCAAAATATGTATCATTTCTAATCTATAAGGTTTTTGTACTCGTGGCCTTTGAAATTCAATAAAATTTGAATAATTTGCTTTCTCAAGTAGGGTCACCTTGTGGCCTTCTATGACAAAACGAATTAGTTTGAGAGCTTCTGATAGATGGCAATAGCAGGAATCTAGCAGGACGAAAAGTTTTCTCTATTTGGGAAAAAAAACCATGGCAAATGATAAGATTTTTTGAATTTTTTCGTTGTACACTTATTGAGGAAAGAGATTTGGAAAAACCCTAAAACAAATATGAAAATGCTGTAGGTATTTTGGGATAATTTTTATCATATTTTCTGAGATTTTTCCAAATCTGAACCAAAAAATGCAAGAAGTAAAAGATTTTGTCTGATATTTTTCAAAAAAGATGAGTTTTAGGATTTGTTTTCAAATATAATATATTCCAACTCTGAAGCCCCAAAAACATTCACTTTTCCTTTATATTTAATTTAGAAATATTTCTATACTAATCCTGTATTATTCTGAGTGCCTTTTTTCATAGATTTCGGCTTCAAATCTGAGAATAATTTAGTGTATGGAGTTGAGGAAGTCCCAAACGACCATTAGGATACATCTCTATTATTCATTTATCTATTCTACAGTTTAAGGCACTTTTTCCACATGGAAAATAACGTCATTGGGAGCGCCCAAACTCCATACAGTAAATTATTGGAAGATTTGAAGCCGAAATCTATGAAAAATGGAAAATTGTTTCATAACATACGACGTCTTTAAAAAAAAGCAACACGTTTTCAATGTTGCTTGAATGTCGTTTATAGACATCTTTGGAACGTCTTTAAGATTTTTGCTGTAGAACTGTAGACCTTAAATAAACATTCAAACAGTTCAAATCCAAATCAAAATTTTTCAGGTGCATTTTGGAACAATATAGAAACTTCTAGGAAAGTTATTTCAGAACAATTAGGATTTAATTCAGAACTGGAAACATTTTAGAACTCTTTTGGAACCAATTTAGAACACTTTGGAGCTTTATTAGGGCTCTAATGTACTTGAAAACTTATGAAAACAATTTAGAAACTATTGGAAAACTTCTAGAATGCTCCAGAACACTTCAAGCCAAGTTAGAACACTTTAGAACTTCAAAAAGCCATTTGGAATGTTTCAAAACAATTAATTCACTAAAAGTTAAAAACAGTATTCGCAAATAAATATCTATTTATCGGAGAATAGAGAACAGGATTCTCTGAGTCCAAAATCCAGAAGCTTCAAATACAACGGACCAACCTGCAAAAATTTTTCAATATCCACAAAATTGAAGGCCTCTCTTTACTGACCTTAAATACTGGGAAATCCCCAGCCCAGAATGAACCGCCATATTAACTTACACCAGGTAAATATTTAAGTCCTTTTAGATTTTGCAATAAACCCTGTTTTCCAATTACCTACCCCTCAATAGAATATGACTTTATGACTTCTCATTGTTAATGTAAAAGTCAGGTACCAATCTAACACTCAAAAATAATTTATTTTGGGTTCTCTAGACAGAAAGGTGCCAGTGATAGTGCAGTGTACTCACAATTTGTTTGGTAAGTTTATACAGTCAAAAGCTAGAAATTCCTTCAAAGACACACTTTTTCCGCACTAAACAATATTTATCTGGAGAATAAACTTTAGGAAAACTACTGTTGTCAAAGAACAATAAGAGATAATTTATTAAAATAATAATTAACAAATGGCTATTCAATTATAAAATATTGTTATGTTAATAATTATTATTAAACCAAATTATTCTTAGATTGAATCCCTTATCGTTGACAGTTTAAAAATCTATTTTGACCTTATACTCTGTACAAAATTGAACTTCTGCAGACAGTATGGTGCCATCGATCATACCAATCATATACACGCACACACAGTGTTTTTACTTATTGTTTATTGATTCTATATATGTACCTTGGATAAAAATGTAAGTAAATATTAAGGTAGATTCACACCAAAAGAAACTTACAGCGACACCTTTTTGCTGCTCTTTACTTGTTCATGGAAATATTATTTTATCTTGGTGGTTTTTCCATAAATAAATTCATCAAACTTTACAAGTATAGGAAAAACATTGATTGATGTGTTGATGGACAAATAATCATATTATCAGCAAAAATGACCATGTGCTAATTTAAATAAAATCGTAATTTATTTAAAATAAAAATATTATTTTGCTTGGCCTTATTATCAAATCTTATATAGCGAAACGATAATGATTATGGGGGATTTTTCGATAATCAGAGACGGAATTGAAAATCATTGCAACTACGTATAATTGTTTAACAAACAATTTTTTTTTTTTTAGGAAACTGCTCAAAAATAAAAAGCAATTTTATTCCAATCAAACATGTATCGATCCAATCCTGGGTTTCGGATAATCTATGCCAATCAGCAATAAACTCTAAAAGCTAAAAAGGTCAGCCAACGCAAAACATCTGGTTCTCTTGTTGGTTGTTGGCCGGTCGGCTTTTCTGTGTTCAATTAATACGAAAAATTTTACATTAATAATTTGTCTGACTTTCTGACCATCTGGATCAAGCTTTATCAATTCAGAGAACCTTTGGAATATACCAGGGAGAACAGAAACACTCACAATCAATAATTGAAAAACATCTTGCTGTAAAAATTCACTAGTCTTAATGCCACATAATGAATGTTTATTTCAAAATTAGGAAAATCCACATTATCTCTTAACAAATAAAATAAATTTAATTTCCAGATTGTCCCTCGTAGTCGGAACAATTATCGCAACAACCGACTAATTAGTCTGACATCAAAGAAACAAGATAGAACAAACAGATTAAACCAGCTCGGCCATGTTCAGTCGCTTCATATTTGTTCTGTGCTTATACCACCTCGCGGTCCAGGGTGCCTCCATCGACAATGGAACATCCACATCTGATTACCATGAAAACATTACATCAGTTATCCATAATGAAGTAGCAAATGTTAGTGTTAAAAATGTGACGGTTTCACGTCACAGGACTTTTTCCGTTGATGAGTTGTTGACAAAAACTTTTCCAAAAAAGAGTTCTAATGATACTGGAGTAAATCCTTGTAAGGCAGGTAAGGATTTGATTAAATTTTCAATGGTGATTTCGATTTCTATGAGTAAGTGTTGATTTTTGAAATGCAAATTTTAACTATTACCGGCTCTTGATTTGGTATTGGTAACAAATAAAACCATGGGGAAATTATTTGTTCTTTGGCTCAGATTTGGAAATTTCTTATTGACTAAACCCTATTTAAAATTGTCTCAGAAATTACCCCATGAAAATAAGAGTTTTATTTGGTTTTGGAACATTATCTTTTTATATAATATATTATGCAAAAAAAAAACCAACATTTTAATGATGCCGATAACGTAAGTATTGTAAACATTTTTTTGTTTAGTATATTTGGCAAAATCGAAATACATTTTATTCATTCAATGCAGTTGAAGGATAAACCGCAAGGGAAATCTGGTGTACAAATTACAGTAATGTATAAATTTCCAGTGGAAATTAACAATATGAAGAATTTTAGAAATCAGCCTACGAAAACTGAATTACCTAATTGAAAATACAGTCTCACACATTTCAAAGTTTTCCTGGAGAAATAGTAAAGGGAAAAATTTGAAACTTTTTGCATGTAAAGAGGAAGTCTAGAAACTCATTTTCTCAAAATTTCAAATTTTTCCAGGTGAAAATAAAAACATGAACAATCTTGGAAATCCAGTTTCCAATAACTGAATTAATTGAAAATACAGTTTCACACATTTCAAAGTTTTCCTGAAGAACTTTAAAAGGGAAAACTTTTCAACTTTTCGCATGTAAAGAGGGAGGTTAGAAAATCATTTTTCCAAAATTTCAAATTTTTCTAGTGGAAAATAACGAAATGAATAATCTTGAAAATCAACCTACAAAAACTGAATTAATTAAAAATACAGTCTCACACATTTCAAAGTTTTCCTGGAGAACTAGTAAAGGGAAAAATTGGAAACTTTCTGCATGTGAAGAGAAAGTCTAGAAACTCATTTTTTCAAAATTTCAAATTTTTTCAGTGGAAAATAACAACATGAATAATCTTGAAAATCAACCTACAAAAATTGAATTAATTGAAAATACAGTCTCACACATTTCAAAGTTTTCCTGGAGAAGTAGTGAAGGGAAAAAATTTGAAACTTTTTGCATGTAAACAATAAAGGTATAGGAGCTCATTTTCCTAAAATTTCAAAATTTTCCAGTGGAAAATAAAAACACGAAGAATCTTGGAAATCAGCTTACAAAAACTGAATTAACTGAAAATACACATTTTGAAGTTTTCCTGGAGAACTAGTAAAGAGAAAATTTTGAAACTTTTTGCATGTAAATAAGAGGGAGGTTAGAAGCTCATTTTCCTAAAGACAATTAAGACAAAATTCCAAATTTTTCCAGTGTCTAGTTCCGCCCGTCCTACAGAGATTCGTGAATAATTCACTCATAAATAAAAACATTTCAGAGCTTCTGAATAAAGACAAGAAATCTTGAAAATTTGTAGAATTCAATAATTATTTGGTACGGCTCAAGACTTATTAGGCCTTAAGATTTTTTCAAGATTTTAAAGTACCTATACAGTTGGTAAATTTAAAGACTCCGGAATTTAAAGAGGCTCAGAGCTTTATTCAAAATCTCTGCCGATTTGGGACCTAAGGCCTCTGTGAATATTTTATAGAGACACCGGAAAATTTGGAGATCATAAAGATTCTCTCTATGTATAGCTTTTAAAACTCTAAAGAATTTTGCATCAGACTGGACTAGAAGACTTTTGATTAAATCCTTAAAGATCTCGCCTCGAAGCCATTGAATAAAAACTTCAAACAAAAAATCGTATACATATATTCTAATTGCTGGTAACATCTCATTTTTCAAGATTGACTCTAAAGACTTTAGAATGTAAAATTTCAAAGACCCAACACCAAAGCCCTAATTACTCCGAAAACTGTTTGTAACAAAGTTGCCTTTAAGAAGCCTTTTTATTCCAGACGTTTTCCTGGACGACATCGCAATAACATTCGCCGACTCCAGAAAACGTTACATACCTCGGGACTCTGAAGACGACCAGGAAAAGCACAAGCTCATATCGGAAAATGCCAAGAAAATCCTGGAAAAAAAGAAAATCTGGTAAGAACTTCAATGCAACAATAATTATTTGCAATTATTATTGGACCATCTTCAAAATAAATCCAGATTATTCTTGTATATAGGAAATCATCTCCACCAGATCCTGTACCACATAGAGTCCAGAAAAGAGCTGCGGCAACCACAATAAAAGACCGTTTATGGGATGACGGTATAGTGCCTTACGAAATTGATGAAACCCTCAGTGGTTTCCGAAAAGCGTTGGCCAAACAAGCAATGCGACATTGGGAAAATCACACTTGTTTGAAATTCATCGAACGAAATCAAACCGAAAATATCGATTATGTGTTTTTTACTGAGAAACCTTGCGGGTAAGAATAATTATCATTATTAGCAATAAACATCTAAAATTAATTCAAAAAATCTTCTTTAGTTGTTGTTCGTTTGTTGGTAAAAGAGGTATAGGAGCTCAAGCTCTAAGCATAGGAGAAAATTGTGCTAAATTCGGAATCGTAGTGCACGAAATAGGCCACGCGATTGGTTATTACCACGAGCACACACGGCCAGACCGTGATAGCTATGTGCAAGTGTTCGAAGAGAATATAATGAAAGGTCAGTACATTTATTTATTTATTTATTAACAATAATGTTGATTTTTTATTAGGTCAGCAAACCAACTTTAATAAACTGCCGACCGATCAAGTGACTTCGTTGGGATTAAAGTACGATTACGACTCCATAATGCACTACGCCAGAAATACGTATTCGATAAACGTATTTTTGGATACTATTCAGCCTATTGCTATTACTCAGGGCAAAGTTCCGGAAATTGGTCAAAGAATTGGATTGAGTTCCGGCGACATTCAACAAACTCAGATTTTATATAATTGTCCCAGTAAGTTGCATCAATGGAGATAATCAATTTTACAATAAAGTTATTCTAGAATGTGGTAGAAGCTTCCAGACAAAAACAGGCACTTTTTCCTCGCCTCCGATCGACCCAAACTCAGCTTTGCCAAGTGCTTCGTGTGAATGGCGGATCTCAGCTACGCCGGGTGAAAAAATTATTTTGAACATTACTTCGATGGATATTGTCAAGTCAACGAATTGTTCCAGCGATTATTTGGAAGTTAGAGATGGATATTCGAAAAAGTCTAAGTTAATGGGTAAGAAGAGTTCTTTTGTTTAGTGCAATTTGTATTATCCCTGATGGCCTTGGTTTGCGTATTACGGGTTGCATACATATTTAGTTGGAAGTTGGGACAAATTATTACATAATGAATAATGTTATGTGCAAATACTTTTGCAAAAGATGTTTCTTATGATCTTCAGATCCTGAATTGCTCTTATGCAAATGTTTTGTTCTCTAACGGCCATTTTCACCGCTATAACTTAAGGGATATTTAATCCAAGTGAAGCTTTGAATGTGAATCTTGTGGAAACAAAAGTCACATTCAAAGCTCCACTTACATTAAAAATCCCTTAAGTGATAGTTAAGTGATAGCCGTGCAAATGACCATAAGAAGACTTAACAAATATCAAGATTCACATTCCATAATACTTATGACTTCATTAGGGTGTCAAGTGTCAAGTGATAAAGTACCAGTCCCTGTAACTTTTTTATTTTTCATCATAGGTACCTACCTACATAAAAAAGTTATAGAGGGTGGTACTTTTATGACTTGACAACCAGTACAGGTACAATATTTTTCATTTTCATAGTCATTCAAAAAAAAATTTTATTTCTGCAGATAAAAGATGACTTTTAATCTTCCTCCCGAGACTTTTCATTTGCTTGATAACTTTCACAATTTCCAATAAGCCTGGATGTCTCCATGATAAGAAAAGAAAAAGAAGTGTTTTTTTTTTTTTTGTAAATTATTTATAAATAATTTAGAATGTAAAAACAAATATTATTGTCACAAATCATTAATCGTTTGTATCGTCCTTAACAACAGATTTGGCTGGCAATAATTCCAATAGTCTAGCGTGAGCTTTCCTTGTTAATTCTTCACAGCACGATTCCAAAGTAACTTTGGCTTTATAAGAACTATCAAACAGTTTCGGATAACAGCCACATTGTACATCAGGAAATTCTTTTACAACTTGTTGTAATTCTGTAACTATTTCGTATTCAGGTAAGTTACAGTAAACACATTTGCTAAAGAATTTCTTGTCTGATTTAAATAATAAAGATCCCGCTTCTAGGATTGTTTTCTTTAATAGTTCTGGTATACCTGGGAACATATAGACGTTTTGTATAGATACGTTTGGATACCTTAGTTTTCCTCCAGATTTTGTTTTGTAGTGCAGCTTGGAGGATTTTGGGATGTAAGCCATTTTCATACTACTGGGGTTCTCGTTTTTATAAAACTGAATACATATTTGTTTTAAATCGGGATGTAGAACGAGAGGCTCCTTAAAAGCGAGGGCGACTCCTTCAAAGGTAACATCATCATGGGTGGGTCCAATACCTCCAGTGGTCAATACATAATTGTATTTTTTTGAAAACTCTATTACTTCTTCAGATATAGTATTTACGTTATCGGGAATTACGGTAATTTTTTTTAGTTCAATTCCTAAATTATGTAGTTCTTTTGCTAGGAAAGCGGAGTTGGTGTCTTGAACTTCACCTCTCAATATTTCATCACCTATAACTATAGCATAAAGGATTTAAGTGTTGAGCAATTTAGTGTGATTTACTTATCAATTTTTCTGAGTGCCTGTTTTCATAGAATTCAGCTCCAAATCTCAGAATAATTTAGTGTATGGAGTGTATTGGAATTTCATCGTTTAAGTTCTGAGGTAGGTAGCTTTATGATTTAGATTTCGGAAAACTTTCAAAGGTCATAACTTTTTTTCTATTATAGGTAAAAAGCTGAAATTTTCAGCGATTCTTATCCCAGTAGAGGACTACAATCACTGAAAATATCAGCTCATTTGGACTTGTAGTTCCAGAACTAAAATTGTGTTAAGCAATTTATTGGGGTGATTTATCAGTTTTTCAATTTTTCTGAGTGCCTTTTTTCATAGAATCTGGTTCCAAATCTCAGAATAATTTAGTGTATGGAGTTTGGGGGGGTCCCAAAGGACCATTAAGACACAAAACCTCAGAAAGGTGTTTAGGTATAGAAACTTACCGATTATTCCTACTGAAGCTATTTTTTTGTCTGTTTCAGTACTGATTTTTCTAATATGACAAAGTTTTCTGATGATAAGGCGACTCACATATCGTGTGATCATATTTTGGTCACGTTTTATAGGAATATAATGTTGAAATTAGGCCATTTTTGTCTTCATAATTTTAAAATTTTGATTATTGTTTGTGGTTATGTAGTGTTGTTATGTCGTTTCCGGTGGGTAAAATTAGGAAAAAGACAATGTATTTCTATCTGTTTCTTTAACAGGCGAGAGAAAGAGATGGTTATAGAATCAGAGCGCGTGGAAAGGCCAAGCCCATGATGGTGTTTTTTACAGAAATCTTCAAAATTCTTCGCGCTTTTATGAAAAAAAACTCTGGAAACTTGATGAGATCTTGAATTCTGAGCCAACATTGCAAAGGATGATGCACACTTAAAATGGAATATTAAAAAATCCACGATTTTGATGAAATTTTGGTATGTTGTAGATCTCGATTCTCGATGTTCTGGGGTGCGTTCAAAGACGGCAATGCTAATGCCAAAACTTACTTTTCCCCCTCCACCAGTAATGCCGAACCACGTAGGTTGAAGCCGAACTCGAACGCAAAATGCCAATTTTGGCTTGGCTGTAGCCATTCCTGAACGCAGCCCTGATCAAAAGTTCTCATGCAGGGATGCTATTAGCACTAAAAAAATTGTACCAGAAAGTAGGGAATAATTGTACTAGATTGGCAACATTGTGTACTAGCTGAAAGCTCATCAAATTTCGAAATTTGAATACAAATGTAGACTCTGCTAAATGGGGGTAAATATCACTTGTTTTAGGGTCGGTTCCTCAATAGCGAGTCACCTCAGTCAGCTGCGGGTTGGTTTTAACTCTAGGGTAAAAAACGTATCCAGTTGCAATGTTAACCTAGAGTTATATCCTTACCTAGAGGTGACTCGCTATTGGGAAACCGGTCCTGAATCACCTGAATGATAGAAATAAATGAATTTCTACATATTTAGTTATAAATCGCCTACCGATTACCATGATCCGCTGAATAACCGCATAACCACCGATACATGAGTCACAGAATAAAAAACTTCCCCACCATATCAAATTCTGGGATACTCGAGGATCAAGAACACTTAATTTGTTCTGTGAGAACAGATTGAAAATCACCTTTTCTCTATTTAAAATCGACGAAAAAATTAACTCACTAACATAGCCTGAAACGCAAGTATTCGATCAAGGTCTGCGGGTGACGTCATCGCTATTTTCTGCTGATAGTGACCACACTCGCAGGCCCAGAATTTGATGGAGAGGGAGTTAGGGAAGTATGACACATTTGACACATCACATTACCCAGAATAAGCAGATTATTGTTTGAATATCCTCGCCAAAAATGGCCTCATATTCGAAACGCCAATTTCTTGTTTGGCTTTAGCCGCACCGCAGTGGGAACTGGAACGTGAAACCCAACCCACAAGTAGAGAGTGGAGCGCAGAACTCGGGTACGATACAGAGCGAAGAGCGACACTCGACTCGTAATCCAAATTGTACTAGATTTATGAGAGAGGTACTAGCGTACTAGGTGAAACGTGATTGTGCCAGATCTAGTACAATTGTACTAGAAATAGCATCCCTGTTCTCATGGGCCCAAGATGATCCTATGACTGGTTTCCGAATACAGTGGCGGGTATGAAGCTACCCTTCTATCTACAGGGGGTACTCAAAAACTATAAACCTTCTGTTTAATTCATACTTTTTATACAACAATCGGACGTTCAAGTCAACCTGATATAAAATAATATGATATGGAAATATGATATGAACATTTCCACCCTAGTCTCGGGCGCAAATGGTACTGGAAGTTATAAGCAGTACCAATATACACCATTTAGGGAACCTCATTTGACTTGCAAATTACTTTGAGGCTGGTTTAAGGGGGTAAAACTATAGTAATTGCGATTCATCGAAAAAAGAGTTTTCGAAAATATGGACATTTCCACCATAGTCTCGGGTACAAATGATATTGGAAGTTATAGACAATTTCAATATACCTACACCGTTTAGGGTACCTAGAAAAACTTGCAAATAACTATGAGGGTGGTTCAAGGGAGTAAACTAATAATTGCGATTCATCGAAATAAGGGTTATTGTGGAAATATTTTTCATTTCCACTCTAGCCTCGTGTATAAGGGCCAAATTATGTACCAACTGGTAAAGTGTCTGGTTGTAAGCAGGTAGGTACTTTCTATTCTCTAGTGCATAGAAAGTACCTGCTAGGTAGCAAGTTATAGACAGTGCCAATATACATCGTTTAGGGAATCTCACTTAACTTGCAAATTACTTTCGGGGTGGTTTAAAGGGGTGGTATAACTAATTATTGCGATCCATGAAAAAAAGGGTTTTTATGAAAATATGAACATTTCCACCCTAGTCTCGGGCGCAAATGATACTGGAAGTTATAGGCAGTGCCAATATACACCGTTTGGGGAACCCTTACATGCAAATTACTTTGAGGGTGATTTAAGGGGTTAACACTAATAATTTCAATTAATCGAAAAAAGGGTTTTTGTGAAAATATGAATACCCACTAAGCAATGTAATATCGCTCCAATGTTTTAGTAATGTTTCTAGATAATATTGTAATATTTATTTTTTTATTGCTGCTATACTTACCTATAAGTGCAAGGTTGCTGCAATTAATGAAACGGAGTTATTCTAATATTCACAAATGCAATGTTTATAGAATAAACTTTTCTGCAATATCGCCTCAAACTTGTATTTTCATAAAAAATAAATTACGTTTGTAACATTAAAAATGCTAGCTTACAGAAACCTGCATTGAACGTTGTTTATAAACTTAGATTAATATTACTGTTGCAATAGTTTTATTGGTAGGTTAGCAGACCCAAGCAGCTCAGCGGTTGTGTCTTCGCTTTGCATGCAGTGGGTCTCGGGTTCGAATCCCGGCTAGGTGCATGGATGTTTGTTTGTTTGTTTGATTTGGTTTGTGTGTGATGTTCGAGGCTTTGTCGACAAACCACAGTGGTGGTTTCTGACAAGAAAGCAGAAAAAAAAAAAAAAAAAAAAAAAATAAAACGAATGTTTCTCTATTAAAGTAATATCAAATTTATATCCCTTAACATTGGATAAGTAATATTTTAGAAAGCTTAACTTCACATTATGTAATAAATTTTCTAAAGTAAGGTCGATACAATATTGCTGACAAATTTTGCAACATTACATGTTTACTGGGATATTTCCACCCTAATCTAATCCACTTAGTATCCGGATACAACGCGTGAAATGAACGTAGTCTTTATCACTTTCTGTATTAAAGTTTACGTTTTGTGAAAGAATTTCTATTTAGATACTTGGATTTTTGAGTAGCCCCATACCCGCCACTGTATTTCGGAAACCAGTCATAGGATCATCTTGGGCCCATGAAAACTTTTGATCAGTAGATCCAGATCTACAACATACCAAAATTTCATTAAAATCGTAGATTTTTTGAAATCCCATCCAAAGTGTGCATCATCCTATCCTGACTCTTTTTTAAGAAGAATCATAAAATTCTGTATCTTGACTCTATTACTTTGCATTTCGCAACTTTCTAATACTTCTTTAGATCGATTCAGTTGAATAATTGAAGTTTTGAAACTTTGAAACATGAATTTATTGTTCTTTTGCAAATGTTGCTCATTTGCTCTCATGTCTGTATTAGGAATTCTTAATCATTATTGTGAATTAAATAAAAAACATTCCTTCAATTTTCCAAATTTCAGGTCGTTATTGTGGTCGCGGTGACATCTTCGACCTCAGAACGGAATCAAATCGAATGCTAGTGACTTACGTAACAGAAAACCCCAAAGAAGAAAACAATTTTGTGGCCAACTTCGAGGTAGTTTGCGGCGGAGAGCTTCAATTAGACTCGGAAGGTTACCTGGCCTCACCAAACTACCCTTACGATTACCAACCGAACAAGGAATGTTCCTGGAAGATCACCGTGTCCAAAACTTATCAAGTGGCAATCAAATTCTTAACATTTGACTTGGAACATCACGTTGATTGCAGCTACGATTACGTCACTATCCAAAATGGATTAGAAGAAAATTCTACTGTCGCTAATACGCTTTGTGGCACAATTGTTCCAGATCCAGTAATATCTTCAACAAATGAAATGACTGTAAAGTTTTTTAGTGACAAGTAAGAATTATTGTTTTATTGGTGACTCGTTTTTAACGTTTATCTCCTAGGTCCAATCAACGTGGAGGCTTTTCAGCAAAAATCATTGCAGAATTCAACGAATGCGAAAAAACCGAGCACGGATGCGAACAACTTTGCATCAACACCCTGGGAAGTTTCATGTGCTCGTGCCATCCAGGATTCGAGCTTCATTCAGACAAAAAAAGCTGCGTGGACGCGTGCGGAGGCAAATTCACATCACCCAATGGCACCGTAACTTCGCCCTCCTTCCCCGAGCTGTATCCGCGCAACAAAAAATGTGCCTGGGAAATAGAAGCTCCGCTAAAACACGTGGTGTTTTTCAATTTTACCCATCTGGATTTGGAGGGCAACAATTACGATCAGCAATTTTGCGAGTACGATCAAGTCAATGTGTCTAGTTTGTTGAGTAATGGGAAATATAAGCTGCACGGTTCGTTTTGCGGTAGCAAGAAGCCGAAGATAATCGCTTCTGAGAGCAATTTGCTTCAGGTTACTTTTGCAACTGATGACAGTGTCCAGCAGACTGGATTTGCCGCTGTATATTTTGTTGGTAAGAGTTTGCTCAAATTGTTTCATATAGTCATTTCACCTTGCATCATAGTCATTTACGATAAAATTCTGAAGTTTCAATTTTCCTACATCATGTCATGTACTTACAATTTTTCCTTATTTATTTCACCAAATTATTCTAATAAAATTGATTACATAGAGCACGCGCAATGTAGCTTAACCGTTTTCAGACTCCCGCTATTTCTGAGAAATATATATTTATTTGTTCAAATGATTTCGTGAATCTGTCACTTATTGGTCCCCACCTCAGAGGTTTGCAATAATTTATGATGACGAGGAAGTTAGCAGCAACACATCCCAAACAGGTTCGCAAAAACATGTTCCTGCTTGTGCTGCTATTGTCTTGCCTTATCCTGCTTCAAATCTGACCCCGGCAACACGTACTATTTTCGAGATACAGGGATTTTCATTATTGTTCGTAACTTCACCCTTGGCTTGGGAACATATTGGAAGCAGGATCGCTCAAACATGTTCCTGCTTATGTTGTTGTGGTTTGCCTCATTCTGCTTCAATTTTCACCTCAGCAACACCTAATATTTTTGAGATATCTACACACTAATTATAAATTAACCTAATATACAAAAAAAAAATTATACAATATAAATTTGTTCCTTAACTTGCAAAAGTAGGTAACAAGAGTATTCATTTGAACAGTATTCCCACTGCTACACAAAGCACTAAAATTCCATAATTTCCATATGTGTGTATCAAGTTTGACTACAAAAATTTTAACACGTGAAAATATGGCCCATTTGAAGCAGGCGGACAAAGCAGTGATTTAACAGCCCAAATAGACTATAAGCTGCGTCAAGTTAGCCCCCCACATTCGAATTTTCTAAAAAAATTGCAACCACTTACTGTGCTCGAAGTGTGCTCTACTGTGCCGATGATATTTTGAACTGTGCCGTTTCGATAAGTTATAGGAAAAAATAGATGAGGGGCTAACTTGACGCTCAGCCTCCCCAAAATTGTGGAAATCAGATGAAACCAAAAAGGATTCTTATCCAATCTGAAGTGTGCTGAACTGTGCCGTATCAGGTTTTTCTCAAAATTTCCATATTCGGTCATTTTCCGACAAAATCCTACTGGGGGGCTAACTTGACGCTCAGCGCCCCCAAAATTTTGGAAATCAGATTAAACAGAATTGAATTCTTATCCAATCTACAGTGTGCTCAACTGTGCTGTATCAGGTGTTTCTGAAAATTTGCATATTCAGTCATTTTCCAACAAAATCCTACTGGGGGGCTAATTTGACGCTCAGCCCCCCAAAAATTTCGAAAATCAATTTGAATAAAATTGAATTCTTATCCAATCTGAAGTGTGCTGAACTGTGCTGTATCAGGTTTTTCTCAAAATTTCCATATTCGATCATTTTCTGACAAAATCTTACTAGGGGGCTAACTTGACGCTCAGCCCCCCCAAAATTTTGATACTAGGTAATCTAATTTTATGAATATCGCGAATAATAATGAAATATTTCTTTCAGATTTGGACGAATGCGCTACCAGAAACGCCGGTTGCGAACACGATTGTACCAACACCCTGGGCAGTTACCAGTGCTCTTGTCGCACCGGATTCACTTTGCACGAAAACAAAAAAAGTTGCATCGAAGGCGATTGCGTCCACGACATTTTCGTGCCGCCCTACGGTTCCATCAGCAGCCCCAACTACCCCAAGTACTATCCGGCTTCGAAAGATTGCGCCTGGCACGTGCGAGCCTTGCCAGGCCACCGGATCCGCCTGGCTTTTATGAATTTCAACTTGGAAGCGCACCCGGAATGTTATTTCGATTACGTGCAAATTTTCGACGGAGATTCGTCGAAATCGAGCCAGATTGGACGGTATTGCGGGCCTAGAGTGCCCCAGTTGATTGTGTCTTCGGACAATCAACTTTATATGACTTTCAAATCGGATAGTAATATTCATAAGAAAGGGTTTTGGGCTACATATTCCACTGTAAGTAGATAATATAAGTAATGCCTTATAAATACAATTTGAATTTTCCAGCAATGTGGTGGTATTCTACAAGCAACTCAAGAAAAGCGTCAAATTTACTCTCACTCCAGTTATGGAAATGCTACTTACTCTCCAATGACCTCATGCGATTGGTTTATTATAGGAAATGAAGGATACAACATTAAGCTTACTTTCAAAGCTTTTGATTTGGAAAATGAGGAAGAATGCTCCTACGACTTTGTTGAAGTATTCGATGGACTGGATAGTGGAGGGACTAGTTTTGGAAAATTTTGCGGCAACCAGGTAAGATTTCGCGTTGTCATGAATAAAAATTTTCCTACAAATTTTCCCTTTTTTTAGACTTCTCAAGATTTGACTTCTACCCAAGAAGGTATGGTGTTGAAATTTAGGACAGACGATCGAATAGCAGGCCGCGGATTTATTTTAGAATATGAAATCGTCGAGAGTTTGTATAGTTTGGAAGAATACGACACTCCTTTAGATAAATAGGATGTAGTATCAGATATTTTTTTGTGATATACATAGGCCTAGTTGTATAGGTTCCAGTTAAAAAGGCTTAGATTTGTTTAGAAAACTTATATTGCTAATTCTCACAAACCTATTTTGTCAGTTAAAAATGGCAGTTATTTGTACTATAGTTGTAAATATAGATTAAGCAAAAATGATAATAAATGATTTTGCATTATTTTGAACCAGGAAAATTCTTTCTCTCAAATCACTTGATTTGTAGAGTTTTAAAGATTTTAGAATCTTTTTGGCATCTTTAGAGCATTTAGAGGCTTTGGTCGAGCTTTGATTACCCTCTGTTACAAATTTCTCCAATCTTGCAACACTGCCAAGATAACTATATAGAAAATTCGCAATAGAGACGAACGGAAGCAAATTTTCTAGACATTTCTAGAAGCATTGACTCGCTATAAAATAATGAAACATGCTCCTATTATACAATGTACTTTATTAATTCTATAATTTAACAATAAAATAGGAGAAAATATTGAAAACGGAAAAAAATCCATGAATATTAAACCTAAGCTCCCTCTAGGGCACAATCCAGAAGGAGTATAATATAACAGCTATAATAATAATTCTAAAAATAATTAATTAATTAGGAAAAATGCTAATAACTATAAATAACAATAATAAATGCAATAATAAAATATTAAGTAGCACAACATGATGAAATAAATTTTAAGTAAAATACATTGTTTTTCTTTTTGTATGGGATCCGATCAAAAGATCTTAAATAAAAGCCTAAACATATTTTAATATACGAACTGGATGGGAATATGGCACTGAAAATCCTTCAATAGAAACCCATATCACAATAATTAATGTAACAGTAAATCTCTACCAGTCTTTTTTTTTTTGGAAAAACATTTAAGTATGCTTGTCCCGACCAGACGGAACAAGCCTAAAAACACAAAAAATAAAATATTTTGATGTATTCGTATAATTAAGAGTTACATTTTCGCAGGTGTAAAGGTAATAAAAACACCAAAAACTACTATATTATTTTTGTTTGCCCTAATCTCCGTATACTAAGGTGGCTTTGTACAAAAATTTTTTTAGGCTACAACTATTTACATTTAGGAATATTTTTTGTAACCAGCTGTTTTAGGTTCAAAATTTTCCCTAAAAGGTCTATTTACATAAAAAAAATTGCGGGTTTCCATGTCAAATATTAAAAAATCGACATATTTTCTGCCTGTGTCATTAAGTTACTGTAAACTTTTGATACAGAATTATTGTTCAAAAAATATCCAACAATTACTATGAGAAAGACTAATCCAGTAACTTGATGACGTAAATAAAATCCAATTATTTATGGCAAAATAAAACTATATTTGAGAAACCGAACAGGGCCTCATTGCTTTTCTCCAATCAAATCTAACTAAAAAAAAAACATCCCAATCACATTTTCTCATATCGTCATGCTCTCATGACGAAAACACCCTGTATACATTTTACTCTCTCATAGCTTTTTATTGCTGTCGCTTTTCTTCTTCCAACATTGCGTCCAATTCATCCGTCAAATTGGCCAACATGTTACCAATATCGTTCAGGACATCTACTGGCTCAGCCCTAGAAATGAGACACTGTATATTTTTGCAAATTCACATCTAAGGGTCTGTTCTCACAAAGGTTTGTAACTGTCAGAAAGCATATCGCTCATACATGTTTTCAATGCCGTCGTTCCATAATAAGTCGGTAACTTAGCTGAGCGATTGTTTCTGACAGTTTGCAAACTGTTGTGAGAACAGACTTTAAGACTTCTTACCTATTTCTTGAACTGTTGGCTTGTCGGTTTTGATTGGGCGTCGGGGACGGATGCGTCGGCAAACCTGACGGTCTGGCTTTGGGCGACGAAAATTCGGTTTGTCTGCTCGCGGTACCTGCACGAGTACGAATTGTTCCCGCGTTTTCATTGGCGAACGGCAACGAATCGGATTCTGTGCTCGAACTCGACTATAACAAAAAAAATCTTATTGGAACAAACCAAGTACACCTTCTATGTGACTGCAGAGCTGTCAATCTTTGAAGTAAATTAGTTGAAATTCTACTTCAAGAAATACATATGAGTACTTTAAATATTTTACTTTAAAAACTGAAAAATAAAAAAATTGAGTTTTTCATTTGAATTTTAATTCCAAAATCTTCAAACCTCAATTGCTCGGTTAACCGTTGAGCAAATTGCATTGAAATTTTCAGAATTTGTAGCTCTTATTAGGCTCTCAATGGCCTGTAATTTACAATATTTCTACATTAATGGTTTTTGAGCAAATTGGGTTTGAAGTTCTTAACAAAATTTGGACTAAAAACTAACAGCTGTATGCAACATCCTCTTTTAACTTAAAAGCGCTTTTTAAAACTGGTACCTTTAAAAATTTGCATGGTTTAGAATACAAATTTTTAAAAGTGACCATTTTTAAAAACCGCTTTTTAGTTAAAAGAGGATGTTGCATACAGCTGTAAGTTTAAAGGTCAATTACTCTCAAACTATTCGAGCTATCAAACTCAACTTTGCACGGATTTATAGAGAATTTATTGCTCTTTCCAATGATATATAATTTGCTCAAAATTTAACACAGATATGGGCAATTGCTCATAACCATGTCAAGATTTTGAACATTTTCCAAGAGCCAAAAACATTTCCTTTTTATTTTTGTTTCTGCTTAAAATGGCCAGTTGGAAATGATGTCAGGAATATTTTCCACTAGGTAATTTTGATTCGCTCATTACAGTTCTTTGTTCTAGGTTGAACTAGAATCGATTCTGGATCAAACCTGAATTAGTTCTAGGGATTATTAAAAGAACTACAAGTTTCGGAATCAGTTCCATAATGATTCGGGGTAAAGCTTCGTTCGAAATATGATTCATACAACTCATTCAGGACAATTCGTATCCACAATTCAAATTATATTGGTCGCAAATCGCTGAATTTCGAATTTTGTCTTACAGTTCTTTGTTCTAGGTTGAACTGAGATCAATTCTGGTTCGAATCTGAATAGGTTCCAGGGATATTAAAAGAGTTACAAGTTTCGAAATTGTTCTGAATCAGTTCCACATTGATTCGAAATAAAGTTTCGCTCGAGATATGATTTAGAACTAGAGTATCTTATCTATTTCCTTAAAGGCCGATTTACACGTATTCAGTAGCTGGCGCCAGTCTCACTATCGCTCCAGCACTGGAACAAATAGAAAGTCTATTTATTCTTCTGGCCAATAGGATACCCCAAGGATTGTTATGCCAGTGAGACTAGATACATGTAAATCGGCCTTAACTAATACTAATTCTTACCTTAAAACTAGCATCAGATCCATTTCTATGCTGCAACGCCAACGTTTTGATTAATTCCTGTTCTTCAGCACCCCAACTCTGGGACGAATTCAACTTGCAGTGGGACGAAATCGCTCCAGGAGGGGTCCCAGGGGCTGGAGGTGGCGGTAAAGGCAAATCTCCACCACTGTCCAATGATATACTCAAACTATCGCTACTAGGATAAGCCGGTAAAGGTAGCGGACTCGAGGTTTGCACGTGATGAATTTCAACTGTGGTCGTTTCTTCCGTACACTCGCTGTCTCGCCTCTTCGGCGGATGCGGAGGAATTTTTTTGCCCATCATAGGACTGCCGTACTGGATGTAAGTGTTCGGGAGGGTCTTGTATTGGGGGTTGACGTACTTTTCCGGATTGAATTGAGGCTTTTCGAAGTCCGGGAATGTTTCTCTGGCCTGAAATGGAACAGCAAATATTGATTCGAGTTCAATTTTTGTATGAAGGCTTACTTTTGCGGTAATTTTCGCGATGGGTCTAGGCCTGATGATGCCTCTAGGACGAGGCAAAGTGCCTCCGCCTTCGTAAAGTAAACTCGTTTCATTGGTCGGAGTGATATCGCCGTCGTCGTACGATCTCGGTCTCCAACCAATGGGTTGATTGTAGTAGAATGTTTGCGTATTTTCTGCTGAAAACGTGTGATGCGTTCTTTCATTGGGGTCTTCTAACGATTCAAGCGATTTGCCTCTACCTGTCCTTATCTGAAAATAAATTACCATAAATTAATTATTAGTAGGTATGTTGATTTTTGATTTGGTGAAGCTATCGATTTTGAAAAAAAACTTGTGTAGCATAGATTAAACCAAATTACACAGTTTGCTGATAGCGCGTACAAAATTTCATGCCTGGATTAAAGGAAAATATAGAAAAATACCTTAATCGGAACAATATCAGTGCAATACATTGGATGCGAGTAAGTGGGACCCATAGAAGTCGACATCAATCTCGTCTGGTCGATTTCCCAAGGCTGATGAAACGAGTGGAATGTACTGTGGACTTGGGGCACTCCTCCGGGTGATGGCAGATCCATGGGAATGTGCACCAGAACGTCCTTTACATACACAAACATGCAGCGGTAAGCAACAGGTTATGGGGAAAGAGGGTCAAAGAAAAAAGAAATATATGAAACAATGAGGCGAGTGAAATTAAGAGCTTGCGTACCCATCTATATGTGACATTAAAATGCAATGTTTCATATCTCATTTTAATTAATTTTTAATATATATGTGTGTAAAGTGTGTGACATAAAACAAATAAAGATGCGATTCAGGGTTAAACAATAAATAAACATATATGGTGTCTGGGTATTAAATTTCAATTTTAGTACTTTGAACATGTTGTACTTGTTTAAAATAAAAATCTGTGTAACATATGTGCTGTGATGACATCATAGATGTGAAACATCTAATAACTAAGATCACATCTAAAATCTGATCCAAAATTCAAACATGCTCAAAGTAAAAGTGATAAAGGTACTTACATCATAGATGCAAATTTATTTATTTGAAAAATCTAACAGATTCAAGCACTATATAAAATGATATAGGTAATAGCAATTGACATACCTGAGTGGCATAAATTCTATTGGAATCTGAACTTATTCGTTTTCCAGCTTTGATATCCTTGATCCTCTTAATTGCCAGCATTAGTTTCTTTTGGTGTCCCAATTTCACCATTCCGAATTCTTCCAGGTCTTCCCAAGTCAGTTGGGCTACTGCATCAATCGTTTGATATCCTTGTTCGATGAATGAGGGCAGGTACTCTTCAAGTCGGAGTATGCTTAACCATTCCTCTAAAGAACCCTAAAGAGAATTGTTAGTAGAGGATTAGAAATTGATGCTGAGTTCTTACTGGTACAAATTCTGGCAAATTGTCTGGTAAATTCAGCTGCGCAATTTCGGCTTTCAATTTTTTCCTATGATTAGGCTTCTTGATTCCTATGGCAGTCAAATCTTCGGGTGTCATACGGCCTATAGTAGGCAAATCATAGCCGGCACTAACAAACAACGGAAAGTATTCTTCGAATTGTAAATCTACTAGCCAGGAGTGGATGATTTCCTGGTCCTAGGAAAACATCGATTATAAATCAACGAATCTATTCATTAAGAAAATTCTTACAGGTACTCCTTGATGTATCATCCGTTCGATTCTGCCTTGATCTGAGCCGATGGAGCAGGAACTTAGCGAACATCTAGGACTGTTTGAAGATCCGATTGTGCTCCTTCCTGCTGTACTTAGAGGGTGATATGAGGCTCTGCCACTGTCTAATGAGGCTGTACTATGTCTGGAACCTGAACCTGCACTGCCACTCGAGGAACCTGGACTATCTCTGCCTGGGGACTAAGATTTTTTTTTATAGCTAACTGTATAACTTAAGACACTTTATTATATACAGACTACTAGACACTAATGAGACGATTTAATGGGTGTCTAGTAGTTTTTATACCTACATTTTCTTGAGTTCAATTACCTGTGTCATGTCAATTCCTTGATCTTCTTGCAGGCTGAGCTGGTGATGATAGTAAACTGCAGCTTTGTGTGTGAGCACAGCTCCGGGAGGCGGTTGTCCGGGAAAGGTGAACGTGGGGGCGGGAAAAATCGGTCCGGGAGATTTTCCGGTACTTCCGCTGACTGTGCTGCCATAATCGGAATGATCATCTAGAAAGAAAATCGAATAATTGCTCTTTGGGTTGTACTTATAATGTGAAAGACAGAAAGAGAAACCATGATGTAAAGTTTTAGAATCTAGGGAAGTTGCCTTCTCAGAGATTTATTCTAATTCATGAATTTGATTTGCAGTAGGTCCAGGGAAGTTTGCAGAAAAACTCAAAGAAGAATGAGAGGAGTTGGGAATAATGTTCAAGGAAATAGAGGTAATATTTATCAAATAAATAGAGTTTAGGTTAGTGGTTTCAAATTTTGATTATTCTCGGCTCTTGAACTAAGAGCCTAATGCTATTGACAGCATCACCTGTCACTTTTAGTATAGAATAGCGCATTATCTAGTTTCAAACTTGGATTATTCCCGGCTCTTGAGCCTAAACCACTAAAAATCCGGGAATAATTTAAATTTTGGAATTCATCATGAATCAGCCTATTAGTGCAGTTTCAACTATGTTTCTATTGACAGCGTCAACTGTCATTTTTAGTACAGAAGACCGCATAATTAGTTCCAAATTTTGATTATTTCCAGCTCTTGAGCTTCAACTATTAAAAACCCGGGAATAATTTAAATTTTAAAATTCATTACCAATCAGCTATTAGTGCAGTTTCAACTGTTTCTGTTGACAGCATCAACTGTCATTTTCAGTACAGAAGAGCGTATAATCAGTTTCAAAAGATGTTCAAGGAAATAGAGGTAATTTTTATCAAATAAATAGAGTCTAGGTTAGTGGTTTCAAATTTTGATTATTCTCGGCTCTTGAACTAAGAGCCTAATGCTATTGACAGCATCTAATGTCACTTTCAGTATAGAATAGCGCATTATCCAGTTTCAAACTTGGATTATTCCCGGCTCTTCAGCTTAAACCACTAAAAATCCGGGAATAATTTAAATTTTGGAATTCATCACCAATCAGCTATTAGTGCAGTGTCAACTGTTTCTATTGACAGCGTCAACTGTCATTTTTAGTACTAGAAGACCGCATAATCAGTTCCAAATTTTGATTATTCCCAGCTCTTGAGCTTTAACTATTAAAAACCCGGGAATAATTTAAATTTTAAAATTCATTACCAATCAGCTATTAGTGCAGTTTCAACTGTTTCTGTTGACAGCATCAACTGTCATTTTCAGTACAGAAGAGCGTATAATCAGTTTCAAAAGATGTTCAAGGAAATAGAGGTAATATTTATCAAATAAATAGAGTTTAGGTTAGTGGTTTCAAATTTTGATTATTCTCGGCTCTTGAACTAAGAGCCTAAACTATTGACAGCATCACCTGTCACTTTTAGTATAGAATGGCGCATTATCCAGTTTCAAACTTGGATTATTCCCGGCTCTTGAGCTTAAACCACTAAAAATCCGGGAATAATTTAAATTTTGGAATTCAAACAAATCAGATAAGTATTAGTGCAGTTTCAACTGTTTCTGTTGACAGCGTCAACTGTCACTTTTAGTACAAAAGAGCCCATAATCAGTTTCAAATTTTGATTATTCCCGGCTCTTGAGCTGTAACTACTAAAAACCCGGGATCGAATAATTTAAATTTTGAAATTCATTACCAATCAGCTATTACTGCAGTTTCAACTGTTTCTGTTGACAGCGTCAACTGTCATTTTTAGTAAAGAAGAGCGCATAATCAGTTTCAAATTTTGATTATTCCCGGCTCTTGAGCTTTAACTACTGAAAACCCGGGAATAATATAAATTTTGAAATTCATTACCAATCAGCTATAAATGCAGTTTCAACTGCTGCTATTGACAGCGTCAACTGTCACTTTTAGTACAGAAGAGCGCATAATCAGTTTCAAATTTTGATTACTCCCGGCTCTTGAGCTTTTTTTACAAAAAACCTGGGAATAATTTAAATTTTGGAATTCATCACCAATCAGCTATTAGTGCAGTTTCAACTGTTTCTGTTGACAGCATCAACTGTCACTTTTAGTATAGAATAGTGCGTTATCAGTTTCAAACTTTGATTATACCTGGCTCTTGAACTTAAACCACCAAAAACCCGGGAATAATTTAAACTTTGAAATTCATTACCAATCAGCTATAGCAGGTGCAGTTTCAACTACTTCTGTTGACAGCGTCAACTGTCACTTTTAGTATAGAAATAGCGCATCAAACTCTGATTATTTTTGGCTCTTGAACTTAAGTCAAGAGCCGAGAATAATTTGAATTTTGAAATTCACTACCAATCAGCTAGTGAATGCAGTTTCAACTGTCGCTATTGACAGCGTCAACGTTAGGTACTATTAAAAATAGACTAGAGATGGCGCTTGATTTCAAATTTTGATTATTCTCGGCTCCTGAGCTAAAAGGCTTGTTCCAACCCAGCAGGATTCTGCGCAACACGTAAAATTTGTGCGTAGAAACCGAACTTTGTATACAGAGTGATTCCGAAACCTTTATTTTGACAAGTTGGATCAGACCATAAATCAAGTGCAGTTTCAATTGTCGTTATTGACAGCGTCAGCTGTCACTAGTAATATAAAATTAGACTAGAAATGGCGCTTAGTTTCAAATAATCGTGACTTAAACCAAGAGCCGGTAATAATTTGAAATATTCACCACCAATCAGATCAGACTAAAGCTTCGTTGATATACTGCGAATCGCGAATTGCGAATAATGATCCTATTGGTTGAATTGGCTCCAGCCGCTTGATATATTCAACATCAACCAATAAGATCATTATTTGCTTTTCGCAAGTATAATATAAACCCAGCTTTAAACTACAAAAGGTGAACGCACCATCATCGGTTCAAAAAGAACACGGTGCGCTGACATTGCCTCTAGCTAAAGGCACATTTATACAGGCACAGATTCAAAACGAGATTTTTTTTTTGTAACGCTCTTTTCCCATGGTGTAAATGTTGTATAAATTATTATCCGAACAGCTATAAAATAGAAACAGCCCGAGATCCGAATTATAGCAGGTCGTAAAAGTCGGTTGTAAAATATTGAGAATCCTGCTTTATTTTTTTTTTCTTTTGGGGAGAGTAATATAGGCCTCCTCAGCAGTAAGTAGCCAGAGTGACACTCTATCTGTAATAAAACGCCAAAATAAATATCGGGGGAGAATATTCGAAGAAGCAGATGTACGGAATGGCCTATTTTGGAACTTCTGGTGATGATTGGTTAATAAATTAAAGGCAAATATCAAGCCAAAAAAACTTCAGACAAGACTTATAATGTCCACAGGATAATAAGGCAAATTGAATAAACAATTTTAATAAATCACATTCCAACTTCTTCTTGTTAAATCTCCTTATCCATTATCAGATCAGTGTTGTAGATTTAATTAAACGATTAAATTTTTCTTTTTTAAACGCCCGGTGTTACTTAAGTCATAATTTTTTTCTCCGGTTTGATCTCAAGCAGCTTTTCCATCGTAGTGTGAAAGGCATTAATAAAGAAGTCGTTTTTAATTACTTCAGGTTGTTAGAGGTGAACAGTGCATGTTTATGTCGTTAGAGAATGAGAATGTGACGCTTTGTTTAATGAACTTGTAAGTTAATCGACTAATTAATGGACTGGGACAATTTTTAGAGCATAATGAAACGTTATGACATATGGTGCCAATTATGTAAAGCCCACACAAGGTCGAATATATAGTGTAATTTTTGCAACAAGTTATGGTTATCATTTCCAAAAGTCAATAAACCATTATCATCATCGAGTTAAATTTTTCCATTTATCAATCTAGTGTCAATGTTTAGACATTGTGGCACAAATCAATATTATTCAATCACTTACTGCATGTGTGTGGCTTTAATAATCTTAACATGCGAGTCAATTTAAATGATGAGTTATCATTTTTCTGTCATAAGGCATTTTTGTAATTGATAAGTTAATTATTATTAGCCTTATAATTTATTTTGGGAAGGTCCACCTTGACATCAGGATTTCAAAATGTAGTACTTATTCTGGTTTCTCCCGAGAAGTGTAATTGTAGCTGATTTTACAATAAGAACCTGTTCAGACTCAGTTTACCTTATTGGGCAAGTTGGCCGTGTGCATATGGTGATACCAGAAAAGAACTTTTATTTTTTAAGTGTATAGTAATACTGAGTTCCAGTTCAACATGAAATTTACTATCGAGCTAAAAGAATTCATAATTTCCAACTTGAACTGGAAATATATTGTGTTTAATATTGATACAAAAAACGATGTGCAGGTATAAAGTTTTTTTCAGTTTACCATACTATACTACATGTCAAACTAGAGAAGTTCCAACTTTAAAATAGAACTCATTGGTGTTTAGAGTGAAAACATTGACCGTAATTTGTAAAAAATGTTCTTTCAAGGCATACATATACACGCAAGGCCAAGAAAGGTAAATCCGACCAGTACCAGTCCTGCCCATATAGAGCGCGTTTTTTTCTCTGCTCGACAAAGGACATGAAGATTGAAGAATGCCGCTGAGCTGGGATTCTATATAAGATGCCCCTTTGTAAAATATTTCCGATTGAAAGATGAGTATTGTACAACTACAAGAAGATAAATGTGTGTTTTAATATCTGTCAATAGATAGCAATACTCATGTTGTATATTTCAGATTCATTTAAAAAAATCAATCTTGCAAATCGTCTAGACTTTTTAGACAAAAGATCGTCTCTGTTATTGACAGCAGCACCCCGGATGATAGATAATCCCCTAAGGAGTTGGCATCAGAGTATATAAATAGCATGGCACAAGGAGGGCTTTACTGGAAAGATTAATGCGTCTATTATCGGAGACGATTTGACAAGCTTTGGTGTCTTATTATCCTCGGATTATGTGAAAGGATTCATGCGGGTCAAGATACTTTTGTATATGAACGATTTTAAGGGCAAGTTTATCTATACTCTGTTAGCGAATTTGTTTTACAATAATTTTTATGTTCTTATCATTAGGTACTTAAACAAATGTTTCAATGACAAAATCTGTATTCTGTTGTATCTATGTGGAGCGAACAAAGGAGATAAGTCTAAGACCTAAATGTATTGACCACTGA